TCTGTAGAGCTGTGGCTCCAGCATTTTTGGCATTTTTGCTCATTGATCTGAGTAATCAATCAATCAATAAATTCATAAATCAATGCTTGAAAACCACCAACTTGATTGCTTTGATGATAAAGTAAATCACTCTCCTGAAAGCCTCCATGAATAGCAAAAACTGAATATAAAAAAATAGTGTTAGAAGACAATGTGTTTCACCACCAGACTTTTTCGGCAAAAGTTTTCTGCACTTTTTCTTATATTCTTCAATATTTCTGGAAATGAACCCTAATTTTGGAGCCAACAGACAATATTTTCAGTTTTTAATCGAACAAGCACATTATAAACACGACTAATTTGTGATGAAAAAAAGGGAACTGGTGGTGTAAAGGTTAAAGGTTATTGTACAGCATGTGTTCGAATTTTGTGTGAATAAATAATTTATTTTACATGCCTTGCGTACATTGTATGCCGCACATTGACCACTTTCCTTCAATTGATCTTTTCTTATATTTTAAGTGGTTCCCAAGTGCTGCCTCTAGTCCTAAGGATGTGATAATCATTGTTGATTCCAATCATGAAGAACAGTCATCCCTGATGCGAGAAGCGATCAGAAGTCTCATTTACACATTCACACGCTATGACTATGCGAACATTATAACCGGTGGAACGAAACTCTATAATGGCCTGGTGAAAACAACCCAAGACTTGAGAAGCGAAATGTTGAACTTCACTGAACATATCTCGGTTGTGCATACCAGAAACGTGATTGGTTCCTTTGAGAGAGCAAAATCTGCTTGGATACATTCGAAAAACGTCGGCAACTCATCAAACTGTGTAGAAGCTGTCTTGTTTTTAACTGACTCGATTTTACCTGATGACTACTTATCTGAGATCAAAAAGATTTCAGAAAACGGGGATGTGTTTCGTGTCTTTACATACTCTTTTGGCAGATTAGCCGACCAGTCCAATGCGTGGAATCTTGCATGTCAGAACCAAGGAGCATGGACGCACATAGAGACGCTGTACGATATTTGGGATCTCATTAGCGATTATTATAATTACTTCAGCAGTTATGAACAGACCTCATTAGTAATATGGTCAGAGGTTTACGAAGACAGGTAAGATCCAGACTACAGTAATTCTAGTGATTATTTTTTTACAAAATGACTGATGTCATCTTTAATTAGAAGAACGAGGGTGTCATCACCTGTGCATGCGCATGTGTGGCAGATGGCCATAGTGTGTCATTGTTTACAAACAAGCATCTACCGTACTCATCAGTCTTTGCTGTCATTATCGTCACTTAGGCCTCAAATCCCACTCGCTCTTTAAGCACCAAAGTCATTTTTCATTATCGTTCATAAAATAAAATATTTTGATCAAATTTTGATCAAGACTTGTAGATAATGTATCTATTATTATTATATCTATATCTATATCTAAGATTATATCTATTTGGTTTTAAATGATTCAAAAAACTATAGAAACAGTACCTGTTGCAAGCATTTAAACTTATTCGCTAGATGCATCTGGTAAGGTAGCTTCTAGGTATGAAAGTTTTACTTATTGCAGTTTTTCACACTTAATGTATCCATTGAAACTGATGGCATTCTGAGTAAAAAGCAATGTTTTCTACACCCGTTGTACACACAGGATGGCTCCAAAATCGAAAGCGTGTAATTTTCAGTTCATCTTGCGCATTGTTTTGATGCTACTAGGCCACTATTACGTTTGGTTGTAGTGTTTTTGCATTTGATGTCACGCATAACACAGGATCTCAGTTAAAGGGGAACCACTCAATCCCATGGATTGCACCACGTGTTCATGGGTAATTAACTCCGTCTCTGGCCACTATAAAGTAAATGAATGCTTATTATGCTCGCTCACTCAAACTGTGATTGACAGGCATTTTGCATACATTAGCCGTCACTTGTTGCGACACGTTTCAACCGAAAACAACTTTTATACATCAAAAGCCCAACCAGATCAGTTTATCACTAGCGTACATATTCATGCCGTGTAGAAATGTATTTGGAATCATGGCTTGATCTCTAAACATCGTAAATGGCACATTTCCCAGAGCTCCCGCCACGATGTGAGTAGCTTGGTTCGAACTAGAATACTATTTGCTGTGGCCATCTTGCCCCTATTTATAGTATCAGTTCCCCTTTAACACAAATTTGTAGGTATGAAAGTAATGGCTTTGAATGATGTTAATAAAATATTTTCTTTGTATACAGATATGGTTTAGGATCTGTGTTATCAGGATGTCTACCAGTATATGACATACAAACTAAACATATTACATTACTTGGTGTGGTATGTGTTGATATCTTGCAAGAAACATTAGACAGTTATCCTGATGGTAAAAAGGTTAGTAAACAGGGGTTTTTCTAGAAAAAAAAAACTGCAAGAGGGAGCACTGCAATTCAGTGGCACCACCAAGTGGGGGAGATGGGGTTCTCCCTACCAGGATGTTAAAATGGAGCTTTCTATGGCTGCCTTTGGGCCAAAATTACTATCAGACAGGTCACAGTTGAAGACTGTGGCCATCATGTGATCCCTGGTCATTTAGAATTTTATGGTTGCCAGATAATCTGCTCCCCAGGTTAGGGGGCACATGGCCATGGCATAAGGGCGCTGCGCCCGGTTTCCTTGTTTAAAAAAATCCCTTAGTAAATATTTATAAATATTTAGGTTTATAAATACTGTATTATGTACATATGCCTTAGCTGACTTAAGTATACTGTATGTTGTAAGGTCATAATAATGTGGTTATTAATAAAATAAAATAATAATGTGGTTATTATGTATGTAGGTCTTTTGATTCCATGATGGGTGGTGAACGACGATGTCCAGCTGTACAGTTGACTGAAGATCAAATTGAAGAACTGAGAATGGGATCTACGAAATGTGACAGACATGAGTTCAATGATACTAAAGGAATGCAAAGATATACGGAGGATTCTTTGCGACGATTGGCTGCCTCAGCACAAAGTATTTACGAACAAATTACTGAGACTGGGAGCTCGGGTAATTATTGTCCATTTGACACTGAAATCCATGAAGTATGCAGGAGTGATCCGCCCATGGGGACTACTCGACCGGAAGTTCCATATCCGCAGAAGATAATCGGAGAGTCCACTGTTCTGCTGGTGGCCGAAGACAGCGCAAAACTACAAGGGGATTACAAGAATTTGTTGCTGCCTAATAAACTGTACTCATCAATGTGCATGTCGCAGAGTTTTGTTGAGAGCTGGAATAAGTATGCACAGATTGCGTATCACTATTTTGTTGGACAGAAACCGGATTCCAGTTATGCTAGGGTGTTTCCAGATGTTATATTTGGACAAGATACTGATGCGTGTAATAAGAGAGATGAACTCGTCAAAAGATTGCAAAAAGAGGTTTGTGAATTATTTGGTACTAGCCTTATACTCCAATAAACCATTTACACATGTACAGTATCAAATCCCTTTATAATTCAGGGTTACATGTAGTCCTGTTATCCCCACTTACTGTGAAATACTTTATTTTAGCTTGGAATAAATTTTCGCTCTTTTTGCTGTAGGAATGATTCAGTGAAAATAAAATCCAGCGAATATACCTTTTTACTATATTTCGCATTCAACTCTTCAGAAATCAGTGAAAAATAAATTCCATACAAAACACCCCAAAACACTTTTCAGCGAAAATTAATTCCAGCTAAAATAAAGTATTTTACAGTATTTGCTGGTTTTTATTTTCACTCAATCATCCCTTCATGAAAAGAGCAAAAATGAATTCTAAGCAAAAATAAAATTTTATTTTTACCTTGAATTTGACGACTGACATTTTCACACAATGGTGACTACAAATACCATACATGTAGCTTAGGATGCCAGTTATGTCTGAAACAATAATTTATGTAGCCATTATTGTGTTAACTTCACATATCGTATCATTAATTGGTTACTATGAGTTACCACACTCCATACTATTTGTGTAACTATGGTGATTTGTACTTATTAAGCTGAATGCCATTCCAGAAAAAAACTTGTAATTCACTAATCATTGTTTTGTTTATTTGTTCTCTCAGACTGACCTGACCTCAAGATTGAACTCTAAAAATGTCATGATTGTTCTTCAGTACGAAGATGAATCCTCGCTGAGTTTAATGAAAAACACCATACACGCCATCGCTGATGATTTAACACCCATGGATCAAATCGGCATGGTTACCTCTGCTGGCACTCACCATGACAGCCAGATGGAGCTTTTCACACGGGAAAACGAGATGCAGTTTTTGAATTTTATTGACGACATGATGTACTCTGAACCAATACGAGATATCAGAGATACAGTGGAGGAAGGATTCACTGTATTAAAAGCAAACAAACATGGCTGCTCATTTGCCCTCATTATTCTTACTGATACTTTGCTGAAACAAGGTCTCGTACAAACTGTTGAAGAGCAAAACAAAAATTTTAATTCCACTGTGTTTGTATACCTATATGGATATGCTGCAACTGACATGTACGCAAGAGATGTTGCCATAGAAACAGCTTGTACAAATGCAGGTGCATGGGACATCATGCCTTCAGAAGTGTTGGCGGCAGACAGGGTGAAGAATTACCTCAAATTTCTTCCAACGTAAGTATGCAACAGTTCTTGAACTTCATTGAGAATTGTTTGACTTTTAAGAGCAAAATAATTGAGGAATTCTCACTGGTGGTGATTTTGTACCCCCTGGAAAGTACCAATTTGTGTGTCATGCATAGGGCATATTCTAAGTGTGTTGGATACAGCGGTGATCAGTGTTCACTATAATTCATACTATGTTTTACTAAGAACGCTATGCACAAATGCATAGATAATTAATACAAGTACAGTAATCTGTTTGTTAACGTAAACCATTACACCAAAATATGTATTATATCTTAATAGTGGTAGAAGTGTGATGTATTTGATGTTGTTTTTTTGTATTTATCACTTTTTCATTTGGAGTTTGTTTTAAAAGTTAGATTTTTTGGATGCTTAACTTACATAACAATTTCTTCTCAAAAAAGAATAACTACAAATAGTTTCTTGTCTCTATGTTTGTTATCTAGGGTGTTTTTTTTTCTTTTGAAGTTTATGTATTAGAGTATTCATAATATTCATTGTTTCATTCAAATGTTTCTTACAAGTTAATGTTCAAGTCCCTTTATTTGTGTCTTGAATGTTATCTACATATTTTTCCATCTCTTGTTGTGGTATCTTGTTCAATTGTGTTGGTACATGTATAAGTACATTTCCTGTGAAGCATTGCATGAAAGAAGTGCAAACATTGAAAATATTAGTTGTTTATACAATCCTTTCTTCAGTGGGCATAGAAATAAAAGTGTGACAAAAATATTTCAAAATGTACAAGTTACAAAAATGTATTGACATGGTCATTGACACCAATAAAACAAGTTTGTCTGCTGAGCGCTAAATATGTTTCAGATGCAAAGTGACCTGTTAGCTTTGTTGTTAACCTGACTTTATTTTCTTCTGTAGAAATCTTAACTCGGTCATTCTGCCAGTCTGGTTTGAGTCACAGTATGACCTCTTGATGCCAGATGTCTCTTCTAATGCTATGGTTTCCTGTATGCCAATTCTTAGTGGCTCAGCTTTACTGGGGACGCTCTGTGATTATATCGCCATGGAAACAATTGAGCAGTTCAGTGACAGCTCAGAGGTAGGGGAATTAATGTAGATACTATCGTATTACTGCCTCCATGTATTAGTAGTGTCTCCTGTCACCAGGTATTAGTACTGTCAACAGATATTAGTACTGTCACCAGGTATTAGTATTATCTCCAGATATTAGTACTGTCACCAGGTATTAGTACTGTCACCAGGTATTAGTACTGTCACCAGATATTAGTACTGTCACCAGATATTAGTACTGTCACCAGGTATTAGTACTGTCACCAGGTATTAGTACTGTCACCAGATATTAGTACTGTCACCAGGCATTGTACTGTCACCAGATATTAGTACTGTCACCAGGTATTAGTACTGTCACCAGATATTACTGTCACCAGATATTAGTACTGTCACCAGGTATTAGTACTGTCACCAGGTATTAGTACTGTCACCAGGTATTAGTACTGTCACCAGGTATTGTACTGTCACCAGGTATTAGTACTGTCACCAGGTATTAGTACTGTCACCAGATATAAGTACTGTCACCAGATATTACTGTCACCAGATATTAGTACTGTCACCAGGTATTAGTACTGTCACCAGGTATTAGTACTGTCACCAGGTATTAGTACTGTCACCAGGTATTGTAACTGTCACCAGGTATTAGTACTGTCACCAGATATTAGTAATATCTCCAGATAATGTCAGAGATAGTTAAGGGTACAAATGAATATTGAATGATACCACATAAATTTGTATCATCTTAATTATTATTTACTAGACAAACAAACAGTAAACATGATTGATGACAGGTTTGTATCATAGTGATAGTGGGGCTAGTGTTGAAATGTTTGTTTTGATATTAGAAAAATAAATATAAATAAAATATACTTTCAATACTTAATATATGCGTTTTTGATTAAATGCATTGCAGGAGAGTGTCGGTTGTCAATTTATATAATTTGGCATGCCAGAACACTGCAAATCTGTTAAAGAACAGAAAACAGCGTGTCAGACTAGCAACTGTGTTCTAACATTCGATTGTAGAATCGAGAATATTGGTCTCAACATATGTATTATGGAAACTGTTCACAATATACGTGATATTTTATGTTTTCTGTACGCCAAATTTCAGGTGCTTGTGTCATTACGAAATAATACAACTACGTGCATGAGGGTGTATTTAACCGAGGATGAGCTTAATGATATCAGAAGAGTGGGTGCCAAATGTAAAACTCCAGAACCAAAAGGTAAGTATATGCACCGCTATATATAGAACACTGTCTGTTGTTTGTATAATGTTTACAATATGTTCAAGCTTTGTGCTGGAAAGTGTCTTTATCACAAACTATGTGTTCATCAAATGACAGCTGTCAATTTTCATATTCGTATCGTAATGTCAATAAATTCTCACTTACATGTTAGGCATTGACCACTAGAAATGTTTTGCTCACATTTTATAATCACAAAATATCTAATTTATTAACAAATTTGAAAGTGTAAATTTGAGTTTGAGTGTAAAGGAATCATTTCACATGACTAGGTTCTTGTCTATTATATATTTGACTCCCTTGTGTGAAGCACAAAAGGGAGTCTTTGCAGGTACCATGTCTGTATGTCACTTTTTTTGTTCCACCGTTATCTCAAGAACCACTAATCAAATTTTGATGAAACTTGGTAAATAGATGCTCCTGGATAATGCGCAGAGTTGATTAGGTTTTGAAAAAAACCATGAATATTAATTACCTAATTTACATAATAATTAGCAGATTTTTAGCTGTTCTATGACTGTTCTACTGATATCTGAAGAACCACTCATTGGATTTTGATGAAACTTGGCACAGGGATGCTCTGAACAAATGCGCAGATTTGATTAGTTTTGGGTAAAAATCTGTTTATATTAATTACCTATTTTGCATAATGATTAATCAATTTTCAGCGTTTCCACTGATATCTCAAGTACTAATCATAACATTTCAATAAAACTTGGTACTTAGATGTCATATGACACTTCACAGACCTGATCGTTTTTAGGGTAATATCAGTACATATTAACTACCTAATTTGCATAATTAATTAATTTTCAGCCTTTGATATTTCAAGTAGTAATGATCACATTTTAATGAAACCTGGTACATAGCTACTTGAGGACTGTGCAGAGACTTAATTAGTTTTTGGGTAAATATTTGTGCATATTAATCACCTTATTAGCATAATTAGTTAATTTTTTGCTGTGGCACTGATGTCTAAAGAACCACTCATTGGATTTTAATAACACTTTTAAAGAGTACTCATCATCACATTTCAATGAACCTAGGAATATACACCATATTAGTTTTTGGTAAATATTTATGCTTCTTAATCACCTAATTAACATAATTAATTAATACTGGTATCTCAAGTACTGATCATCACATTTGAATAAAATTTGGTACATAAATGCTTTAGGACAATAGACAGCCTGATTAATTTTGGGTTAAAATCTGTTCATATTAATTCTCTAATTAGCATAATAATTAATAATTTTTTGGTTCTAATCACATTTCAATGAAGCTTGGTACATTACGCAGATCTTATTACTTTTACATTGTGCAGACCTTATTAGTTTTACACTTAAATCTGTTCATATTAGTTACCTTAAATGCATAAGCTTTTCCATCAATATCTCAAGTTCAAGTAATTTTGAATTAATTTTTAATGTGTCTCCAATACTCTCAGCACATGGGAGTTCTTTCTAAGCTTTCTTTGATTTTATGCATGTTTTCAATTTATTAAATTTTCTTTCATTTTTAATAGTACTTACAGCTGGTGGTATTGTTGGTATCGTGTTCATGGTTGTGGGAGTTGTTGCATTGGTAGTGGTTATTGTTTATATCTGTATCAAAAAACGGACGTATGACAAAATATACTACTTCTTCAAATCACCACTCAGGTTAGTCAATATGCAAATTATATGTAAATTAGTTATTCTTTTACCAGTATGAATTCTCTTGCAAGTATGTATTTATTGCATATGTGACCTGGTCTGCTTTGATAATTACTTATGTTCGCTTCTCTGAATCTGTCTCTGATATGTAACTTGAAGGTGCTGTGCAATTTGTAGGGGATATGCATATGCCAGATGATCAGCTAAATCTATATTTTATGTGTGGATATTTGTAGTTTTGTCTTGGCATAATATTTAGGGAATGTCTGTGTAATTGTTCAAATGTTGTATATATTTAGTTGTTTATTTTTTTAATATGTTGTAGGATACTTGTCATTTTTGAAGTGGGTACACATAGGACATTTATGCATAATTAATGAGCATTTTTTTTTTTTTATTTGAGCTCTCTTGATAGATTTGTGTAGGTCTTTCTTGAGATTATGATCATGATTGTATGACGTGAACATGGAGGTGGGACATTGTGAATGTTGTTAGATTGTCATCATACTTTAAATGATTTATTTCAGTGCCAATGTAACTAAGTCATGCACAATCTGATTGAAATCATTTCATATTTCATTCTAATTTTTTATTTATTTTTTTTTGAGGTTTTGGGAACCAAAAAAATAAATAAAAACTAACTGTATAAATAACAAATGTGTGAAATAAAAAAACTTTACAATATATAAAAAAATTTAAAAGTGCATACTTTATTGAAGTAATAAGATAAATGTACAAGTGTTTTTTTTGTTTTTTTTTTACAAAAAATGCATCTTCTAACAAATCACCATGAAATATGTTTCAATACTGCATACATCCATCAGTGACATAGAAATACTGTCCTGCACAATAATAACCTATTAATGATTCAGAAAACATATTATGTAATAATGGTTATTATAACAAATTGATGAAATAAAATCTAGTAATGGTATTAAGACATGCTGATATAACCATCTAACTTGGGAAAATGTTTACTCATTAAAAATACTTGTGTAAATACTTTTGAAGACATACATATACAGACCAACAACAGGTTAAAACATCTAGTAATTGTTCAGATAATATATTATCTCTAGTAAAAAATCATCTAGTTATGGTTTCTTATGAGACAAATTTGCTAGTATAGCATATAAAACATTATGAAACACAATCTAGTAATGAATTTTTAGGAGACTGGTCAAAATAACCATTTATTAGAATAG